CTAATTAACTCAAACCACCTGCAAAAGCCTTTAAATGGTCTTTCAGTCTAGTTCTATAGGCTACACAATCATGGGGAAGACTGCTGACTTGACAGTTGTCCAAAAGACGACCATCGACACCTTGCACAAGGAGGGCAAGACACAAAAGGTCATCGCTAAAGAGGCTGGCTGTTCACAGAGCTCAGTGTCCAAGCACATTAATAGAGAGGCGAAGGGAAGGAAAAGATGTGGTCGAAAAAAGTGTACAAGCAAGAGAGATAACCGCACCCTGGAGAGGATTGTGAAACAAAACCCATTCAAAAATGTGGGGGAGATTCACAAAGAGTGGACTGCAGCTGGAGTGAGTGCTTCAAGAACCACCACACACAGACGTATGAAAGACATGGGTTTCTGCTGTCGCATTCCTTGTGTCAAGCCACTCTTGAACCACAGACAGCGTCAGAAGCGTCTTGCCTGGGCTAAAGAGAAACAGGACTGGACTGCTGGTGAGTGGTCCAAAGTCATGTTCTCTGATGAAAGTAAATTTTGCATTTCCTTTGGAAATCAAGGTCCCAGAGTCTGGAGGAAAAGAAGAGAGGCACTTCATCCACGTTGCTTGAAGTCCAGTGTAAAGTTTCCACAGTCAGTGATGGTTTGGGGTGCCATGTCATCTGCTGGTGTTGGTCCATTGTGTTTTCTGAGGTCCAGGGTCAACGCAGCCACATACCAGGAAGTTTTAGAGCACTTCATGCTTCCTGCAGCTGACCAACTTTTTGGAGATGCAGATTTCATTTTCCAACAGGACTTGGCACCTGCACACAGTGCCAAAGCTACCAGTACCTGGTTGAAGGACCATGGTATCCCTGTTCTTAATTGGCCAGCAAACTCTCCTGACCTTAACCCCATAGAAAATCTATGGGGTATTGTGAAGAAGAAGATGCAATACACCAGACCCAACAATTCAGAAGAGCTAAAAGCCACTATTAGAGCAACCTGGGCTATCATAACACCTGAGCAGTGCCACAGACTGATCGACTCCATGCCACGCCGCATTGCTGCAGTAATACAGGCCAAAGGAGGCCCAACTAAATACTGAGTGCTGTACATGCTCATACTTTTCATGTTCATACTTTTCAGTTGGCCAACATTTCTATAAATCCTTTGTTTTTATTGGTCTTCAGTAATATTCTAATTTTCTGATATGATGAATTTGAGATTTTCATTTGTTGTCATTTGTAATCATCAAAATTAAACAAAATAAACATCTGAAATATATGAGTTTGTATGTAATGTATGAATATAATATACAAGTTTCACTTTTTAAATGGAATTACTGAAATCAATCTACTTTTTCATGATATTCTAATTTTATGACCAGCACCTGTATACAGGATGCCCAATTTTATTTTTTTCATTTCGGTCACTGATTAAGTTTTGGCACAGTTTGTAGTCCGTGAAGGACATCTGTTCTAACTTGTATAATTTATGACTGTAAATGCAATGACATACAGTACATACTTGCAATTTGATTTATATAAGAAGACTAAGTTTTAATATACAATCCAAGTGATTATTTTTTTGTCATACCTTTAGAATCTTTCTGCTAACAGAGTCAGGAAAATATTTGAATTATAAAAATACTTACCTGTATTTTGTATTTATTAGTAAAGAAACTGTTTGACTTAGTAAAACTTTGCTATTTCTGTAAAACTTGGTGCATTAAATAATTTTCAAATGGTCACAACTAGTGCAAACCTGCATAACATATCTAATGTTCCCTTTTGAGTGGAGATAAACTCAGACAAAGAGGGGAAGTCTTGATGCATTTCAATAATTCAGGTGGAAAAATCCAAGAAAGTTTAATAAGTTGTCTGGACTGGTGCTTCTTCTAAAAAGGTTTCATCTCTTCTCCAATCAACTTGTTCAGTCTGAGGAGTTGGAGGTAAACTCAGGCTAATTCAAATAGTCCAAAATGTACTTCCTACCTCTTGCTGCTACAGTAGCTCCCTCAACGTTTGTGGGTCAACAGTAAAAACACTATTAGGGGTAGGAGAGGACATCTCCTATATTGCTGTGCCAAATCTTGACAACCGTCAGCCTTAAAGGAATAGTACACCCAAAACATGATTAGCCTTCATTTTCTACTCACCCCCATGCTGAACAACACTCTGGAGTACTTTTTTGATATCTCAAATGCATCTGGAGATCTGGGAGGCTTCTTGCTGTCTGCTGACATTCAAATAATGGAAGTCTGTGGCGCCCGAGGCAGAAAGGTCCATAAAAGTCCACAAAAAAACGTGTCAATATTCCTCCATACTGCTCGTCCAATGTATTCCAAGTGTCCTGAGTGGGTAGCGTCCAAAATTTACTCAAAACGAAGTCATTTAGAATGTTTTTAGAGCATAAACAGTAGTGTATAGGATTTCCAGACTTTCGTCTGGTTTGGTCTGCCGCGGTTTCCGTAGACTCGTGAACGCGCTTTTAGGAAATCCTATACACTACTGTTTATGCTCTAAAAACATTCTAAATGACTTCGTTTCGAGTAAATTTTGGACGCTACCCACTCAGGACACTTGGAATACATTGGACGAGCAGTATGGAGGAATATTGACACATTTTTTGTGGACTTTTATGGACCTTTCTGCCTCGGGCACCATAGACCTCCATTATTTGAATGTCAGCAGACAGCAAGAAGCCTCCCAGATCTCCAGATGCATTTGAGATACCAAAAAAGTACTCCAGAGTGTTGTTCAGCATGGGGGTGAGTAGAAAATGAAGGCTAATCATGTTTTGAGTGTACTATTCCTTTAAAGACATTACATAATGGAAATGCTCATGGATGATGTTTGTCTAATTAGGAATACAGTCTTTACAAAAATAACAAAAATGTCAAGTTACACAATTGAAGCAAACATATGAAGGTCACTTTGCATTTGTATCATTCAGTAGACATTAACTTTTATTTGTACATAAAAAATATTGTAACAACAGAAAGTGGTTGCTCACATGCAAATGAGGATCTGTCTATCAGGATCTGATAACCACTGGTTGAAGTATAAGCATTTCTCGAAAGAAGAACCTGTCAAGGAAACATATACCCCTTTCCTATTGGCAAAAAAAAAATCATGTTTTAACCCAGGAACAATCTGATTTTATTGACAGTAGGAAGGGCTCACTGACCAACTTGGCTTAAAACATCGATGTCTCCAGTAAAGCACATTCAAATGAAATTGCTCTTACGGTAATTTAAAAAGCTTATCAATTTGGACTGTTCTCCCTGCTGCCCTCTGGAATGAGAATTCGAAGCATCCGATGCAGGTCCAGCAGATTCCAGAATAATTTCTTCCCCACTGCCATTAGACTGCTGAATGTTATATAAAATTGGATTAAAAAAAAACCCTAAATGTTGGAACTGTAACTAATATACAGTCATATGTTTACATTATCACTGCTTACCTTTATCATGGCTGTACTCAACGAAATTTCCTTTTGTATACACTTTGTGTTTATAAAATTATAATAAAATCTCTAAGCTTAAGTCTAAGTCTTATCATTAATTGAAAAGTATGTCATATCATTAATTGAAAAGTATGTCATAAGTACTTTCAGAAGTTTACATTCTGAATGTGACCGGACTTTTCCTTTAACAACCGTATCAAAAAAACGACTTCTGAGTGAGAAACGTATTTGTTATTTTTTTTGCTAAATGGGCCAAATCTTCAACATTTCTAAGAGACACAAAAATGAACTTATCCCCTAGTTTATGATCCAGCCAGATAAAAAGTGCATTTTTGCATAGTGCTGCTTAACTATAAAGCTGTTATTTTCAGTGTCACCAGTCCCTGAAGGAGGGATTATTCTTCTTTTCCTCTGCCAAAAGAGAAAGTACAATTTCTGAGTTCATTTTCAAAGAGCCGTGTGTCTATTTTAGGTCAAAACTGATTGTTCATCATGCAGAAGGGAAAACAACGTATCCTGTATTCAACCCACAGCTCATTTAAAAGTACCACTGTTTAAAAAGATTTATTTTTTTAAGACTCTGTGTGCTAGGAGTGTTTCCACTGATTAATTTCTCATTTTTGTGAAGCAAAAACAGCTCATCTCATAAGTACTGCTCTCAGAGATGGAAAATGCTGAGCAGCTGCCCTAGATAGCAAGTGAGTTCATCGCCTTTCTGCTAAACTGCAGGAACACTGAAGTATCAAACTGCAATCTAAAACTTAGAGAACGTGACTAAGGGCGAGGGGGAAAGAAAGCTGAGCTCCTTTTTTTGCGCATGGCAGGGCGTTAGTCTGGTAACTTAAGCAGACTGCATCTCCAGACTAACAAATACACTTCTTCTATCTACTACTATCTTCTTCACCTAATGTTCTGTTTCTGTTTCCACAACTGTTTGATGCACAGTGGATGTCAGCTTTGATCAAATCCAACCCCTCCTTCATCTTAAAATCCACACCTCCTGAATCTCTTCAAAGCATTTCAGCCATTTGATACAATATCAAAATACACACCCAGCAGATAAACACCCAAACACATCACGCATTTTAACTTGATAAAATGGTAAAGCATTTCTGTGACAAACTTAACACAGAACTCTGTTCCAAACATCCAAACCAAAGCTGGGATGAAGAAATATTTGAATTATTGTGAAAACAATAAAAACTAAGTGAAACTGCAGCTCAAACATGAAGGAGACACATTTAATAACAGCGAAGTAGAGGAAATGTCTGTGGAAATGTCTGCTTTTTTCTTTTTGAGTATTTATTTATTTGCATCTGTTTTTCTGATCTCTGCATTTGTTGTAATTAATTTATTCTATTCTTTCTTTTTTGTTAAATGCTGTCATTGTGTTAAATCAGTAACCGAGGGTTTTGTTCATTGTGGAGGAGAAAACAGAAACCAAACCTTAAAAAGACTGTGTGTCAGGATGTATATAATCAGATATGTTGTAAATGACTGGAAGTTAAACTTATGTATATAAGATTCAATCGTGGTATCATATTTTCTCTTCTCTGCTGCAGGTGAATGCTACCTAATGGAGTGGTCTGACTGGAGTTCATGTGTGAACATCTGTGTAAAAGGAGCTGGTGTGGACTTTGGCTCGGTTCAGGTCCGGTCACGCGCCGTACTGGCCCAGGAGCCTGAAAACCTGCAGCTATGTCCAGACCAGGCGTGGGAGTCGCAGCCTTGCACAGGTAAGATGATTTTTTTTCTGTAAAACTTTGATACTGTTCATTTTTAATTGCCTTTTTCTGTTTGTTTTTTTTGCCCTCACTGCTAAGGTGACTGTTGTCTAAACGTAGCCATGGTTCTGCCAAAAAGGGTTAAATACAGACTTATGACCTTGAGGTCAAGTTAGATCCTGTCAGTCTTTTCCACCTAAAAAACTAAGCTTTAAATGGTTGGTTAGATTTCCAACCAGATATGTCTGCATCCTGCAGTCCAAAAGCACTGTCACCTGTTTGACACCTGCTGATGTATTTACTGATCCTGACAGTGACGTGTTTGGCCCAAACATCATTCAAGGGGCAGAGTGCTGATTTTGTCAAATATTTCTTCTCAAAGATGTTTCACAACTTCTTCCATATTCACTGGAATACAGTGCCATGCAATAGTTGCTTGTCTCCATCACATCACGGCTTAGACTGATAAACCAGACTAAATGTGAGATTAAATGTGTAATTTAGTCTGGCCCCGATGAATGAGACATCGGAAGATTGTTGATGAGAACAACCCTTTCTTTTTCAAACCATGTCTGTGCCTATTGGCCAACGCTCTGACCAATGAGTGCAACTGACTGTGATGTAGGAAGCGTGACAGAAAGCTGGTGGGGGAGTGTAAACAAAGGCCATGGCTGATGTCAATTCAGTAGAACGCCGGTACGGACTTGTGTCCTTGCCATATATGTTCTTAAATAGAAGACAGGAAGTTCTGGACTTGGTGAGAATGGGAGCACGCAGCATAAATATGCATACTCGTGACGTCACCACATGCTCGGTCGTCTAGCGCTGCATTTCACCTCCTGTTATTAATAGTATTTAGATAATGAATTATTACTTTTTTCATTTAGTGGGGAAATAATAATTAACGCAGTCTGAAAAATACAAATCAAATGAGCAGTTTGCAAATAAAACAAAAAAATTGTCATCTCATCAGAGCCAGCGGTACTTCACACAGGTCTATGCCGAGAGAGGGCTGCTGCAGATGTGCTGCGGTTAGCCCTGGCTGCCGTTAGTCTCGGAGGTCCGCTGGTTGCCGTATAGTGACGCTTTAAAGCTTAAAATTCTCGCCTCAAATGATCTTAAAGGAATAGTACACCCAAAACATGATTAGCCTTCATTTTCTACTCACCCCCATGCTGAACAACACCCTGGAGTACTTTTTTGATATCTCAAATGCATCTGGAGATCTGGGAGGCTTCTTGCTGTCTGCTGACATTCAAATAATGGAGGTCTATGGTGCCCGAGACAGAAAGGTCCATAAAAGTCCACAAAAAACGTGTCAATATTCCTCCATACTGCTCGTCCAATGTATTCCAAGTGTCCTGAGTGGGTAGCATCCAGAATTTACTCGAAACGAAGTCATTTAGAATGTTGTTAGAGCATAAACAGTAGTGTATAGGATTTCCTGAAAGCGCGCACATGCGCGATCACGACGCTACGGAAGCCGGCAGACCAAACCAGATGAAAGTGCGCATTCAGCGTCTGCTCTTCCAATAATGCAAGCGTAGAAGAAGAAATGTGCCGTTTACCTGTGCAAAGAAAGAAACAACGAAAGAAAAATGTCTGAGGACTTCAGTGTTGAGGAAGAGCATGAGTTCTTTGCCGAGCTGAATGCGCTGGTTTGGTCTGCCGGCTTCCGTAGCGTCGTGATTGTGCATGTGCGCGCTTTCAGGAAATCCTGTACACTACTGTTTATGCTCTAAAAACATTCTAAATGACTTCGTTTCGAGTAAATTCTGGACGCTACCCACTCAGGACACTTGGAATACATTGGACGAGCAGTATGGAGGAATATTGAAACGTTTTTTGTGGACTTTTATGGACCTTTCTGTCTCGGTCACCATAGACCTCCATTATTTGAATGTCAGCAGACAGCAAGAAGCCTCCCAGATCTCCAGATGCATTTGAGATATCAAAAAAGTACTCCAGAGTGCTGTTCAGCATGGGGGGGAGTAGAAAATGAAGGCTAATCATGTTTTGGGTGTACTATTCCTTTAAAATGTACTTTTATTGGACAACATAAGAGACTTTTAACTTTCATTGGAGCGCTCCATTGAAAGCTGCTGCTGCCGCCACAGTGCCTGCTGGGACAGCTGTCAATCAATATTGAGAAAAATAGCCTGTTGGTAAAACGGCGAATACATCCTTCCTAAAAATGAATGAGCGTAGAGCCTCTTCCTGCTCATGTTTCAACGAAAAACCCCAAGTCTAATCCTTCCTAAACTGATTCCAAAGCGGAGTCGCATAAAAAATGTTCAATAGTTGTTGCCATATTCCTTGTTGTGCTTTCTCCAGCTTTGTCATCACGCCCTTGAAACCCCGCCCTCTTTGGCTGCAAAAATTAAAAACACATCTCTACGTTGTGATTGGCCCGCCAGTTCTAGGGCCTGGGGCATTGATCGAGGCTAGACCACTCACAGGCAAAGATGATGTGAGCCGCTGGCGGGTGGGGCTAGTTTAGTAGGCTACTAATTACGGCTATTATCTTCACTGCATTTTGTTGAGTGATTACTCAACATTGTGCATTTTTGTGGAGTCTCAAAATGATTTACTTATAAAATATAAATAGGGTGATGTGTACTCGGCTCCTTTTCTCCTGATCCTTATAAATAAAATGTTGTCCAACTGATACAAATGCAAAGAATTTTGTTAAATTGCACATAAAGGCAATGGGGTGGAGAATTCCCTTCATAGCTGCTCTACATTCAATTTCAGATAAATTAGCAAAATGGATGAAGGAAGAAAGTCCAGATCCATAAACAAAATTACCTTTACCTTCAGTTAAGCAGTAATTATCTAATAAATCAAAGTTTTTGGTTGCTACAAGATACATTTAAGAAAATACTCAAGATAATAATATTCAAGAAGTTTATCGATCAGTTGGTTCACTCATACCTTAGCTATCCAAACATTTACAGGGTTTCGAACTTCATTGTAAATATTTGAAAACCAAGTAAATAATTTGCTTGAACATTTATTAAGCACTTTAACTGTAATTTTATCATTGCTGTCCTTTTTAAAAAATCATGCAGTCATTAAAATACACAGTATTCTGTCATCATTAAGGTATACCAAGTATGGCCAACAGAAGTTTTTGTAATGATATGTAAGAAACCAGTATTCAAGAGATGTGTTGCACACATTTAATGGCTGAAGACTAGAGTTGCTGTTTTCTTTTGTAGAATTTAATCTGCCTTCTGGTAGTGAGCTGAAGTCAGTCGCAGGTTATTACAGGTTGAAGGCAGGGGATGGTTTGTCAATGCATCACAGGGTAAACGCAGAGAGACACTTGGATTCACCTGCAGGCTTTTCCTTCTCTCTGAACCTGGATGTTGGAGGAATCTGGGACACCAGTAGAAGCCCAAAGGAAAAACATGCTCCATTTGTGCTCAGGACTGGATTCAGGTAGAGATTTTCCTCTTCGGGAGGCAGCAGTGCTATCCACAGGGCAGCTTTTGGTACTCTGCCCCAACATAAGCAGAACAAGTGGAATTGATTTCACCTTGTTTTCTCTCTGCAAGTCGGGTTAATTTGTGCCTTTTCAGATGGGACTTTGTAGATCAGATCTCCAAAGTGAGCTTACGCTACACAAATACTGTTGTGATCTCTGATTCTTAGTGTTGATGAGCTGTGAATCAGCATATGCAGCTGCAATGGCTTAGGTCTGCAGAGCAAAGCACACTCCCCCACACATCTCCTCCTCCAACCCTGGCATCCAACTCCTCCACTCTTCTCTCCTTGGCTACTGTACACAGCTCCAAAGCAGCCTTTGCTATCCTGACCTGATTTCACAGCTTCACTCAAGGCCCAGAGGGGGGAGTAGAGGCCCTGCCAAGATGAGTGGGGGGCGTTAGAAGGAAGAGGGCGGTGACGGACAAAAGAAGGGAACTGATGGGATGCTCACATGAAAAAAAAAAAAAAAACAGATGTTCCATTTCCATACTTTTACCGTACATCAATTCCTACTATGCCATGGATCTGCGGTCAATACAATATAAGGAATAGATCAGACTATTTCCTTGCACACAACTTTAAGCAGATAAACTGATAGCTGGAAGAAATATAAAATAAAGACACTACAGACTACACACAAAAATAAGACAATAAAAAAAGCCAAGAATTAAAGATTTTAAAACCAACAGAAGATCCAGCTTAGATCAAATATTCCATTTCCTTCATGATATATTTTTTCTGATCAAAAATAGAAGAAAATAAACAAACCTGATGCTGCTAAAAATGCTAAATATTCATCAGTGAAAAGATAACACTTTTTGACATAGGATATAATGTTTGCAGACATTAAGAATGGTGGCTGTTAAAAAATTAATTCTATTTAACAAAAATCTTTACATTTCTTCTAAAAAACACCAACATCTTACCTGTTCTGACACAGATTTTAGTGCTAAGAAGGTCTGAGTTGGGTCTTCGCTTGGGACTTTCTGCTGCTGGGACTTTGCACTCTGTACAGCTGGGAACTATGGCGTAAAAGTTCAATCTTCAAGTCAAGTGATTTGTGGTCTAAAATTATCATCATTTAGATTTTTTAGCCTTTAAGAGCCTCTCACTTATTTTTTTTCTGCCACTGGAAATAATGTGTACTCTTAGTCTAAAATAAATGTTTGTGTCTCAGTAAATCTCTAATCTGTTGGTAAAAGATGGTGGGAGGTGTCAGCTGAGATCAGTGATAGCTTCACACATCTGAAAAACAACTTCAGCTGCAGAGCAAGAAAACAAATTAAAGACATTTGAAAAGGGATGAACATTAAGAATGAAGTCGTGTCAGCTGCTGAAAAATCGTCCTGTGAAAGCAGCAGATAGTCACGGCAACTGTAGCCTGGCCTGCAGAGAGGAGATCCTTCTTTTGTTCAAAGCTAAATTGTTCATTTACGCAGCTGAATTGGCTGCAATTATGATTGGTTACTCAGGACTCCAGAGGGAAATACAGTCATTTCCTGGCTTGATGGAGATATTGATAAAGTTATAATAGCATTGATAGAAAGTTATTAAGCAAAGGCTCTCAGTCAAGATTAAAAACTTTAACTGGACAATATGTGACAGCAGCTTATTATGTAAAATAACAGATTAATGAAGCAGCTGCTTTATTAATCTGTCACACATGTGATTAATGGTCTCCACTCCACACTCCAACTCTAACTGTGCTGTGGTTATCGATGCTGACTTTGTCTGTGTTCTGTCTGCAGGAGGAGAATGTTTCGAGTACAAGTGGTTCAGCAGCATTCGTCCAAACTCCAGCCGTCCCTTTATCTGGTGCCAACGCTCAGATGGACTAAATGTCACCGGTACGATATTGGTTTTATACATTTAGAAATATTCATTTGCAATCAACTGGGGCAGTTTTATTTTATAAGTTTTATCAGTTTAGACAATTGTGTCAAAATTCTTCACACATATGCAATGGCTATAACTCTACAAACTAGAAATATAAAGAATAAAACCGATTGCATAACATTGTTATAAGTATCACTATTGCTTCCGACAACACTATACCTTGCATATATATTTAGAATATAAGCTGATTATTTTATTAGTTAAAGAAAATAGTGAGATTTGAGCAAAATATTACATTTGTTTAATTATAGTCCCCTGTCATAGGCATAACCATTTTGAAGGAATGACTGGTAGAGGTACTTCCCTAATTCTGTGAATAATCAGAAGAAAATAATCCAATAAGAGGAAAATATTTGATGTATCTTGAGAATAAAGCTGTATGTGCTTGCAAACATTTTTTGGAAGAAAGAATGTTCTTGGTGTAGCGTAGTTGAATCTGCGTTGTGTCTTTTTGAGAAATAATAGCCGGACAACAGCTGATCCGATGATACTTTTAATGCTCCTGCATTCAAATAGAAATAGTATTTCAGAACAGGCTTTGTTGTCACAGTGCTCCACAGCTCCTTCTCCCACGGAATCTGAACAGAAAGAGCGCGACCGAGAGCGTGGAAAAACCCTTAACAACTATAATGGTATCACCCGTTAACTTGTCTTTTTTTTTTAAATGCTAAACTAACACTCGAAACAATATTCTATGAACTCCATATGTTCAACAGTAAAGATGATAATTTGCATTTTCATTCACAAAACATTCAATTTTAATAAAAATAATAATTCTGAAACAGGAAGTTACCTGCTGTTCCGCAATGGATTTGCCGACTTTTCAAAATAAAAGCTGGAAGTTTCCTACCGGAATAGCTTCTCTTTTTACAATCTAGTGTAATAACATCACACTGCTACATTCACCCCCACTGTTTTACACTAGATTGCGGGCATGTTACCCAAATAACAAAGAAAAACAAAAACGAACCAAACAGAAAATAAACAAACAAACAAACAACCAAAAAAAAACTTACAAATCTGACCATAACAATACATGTAACCCAAGTATACCCTCCCATACAAGACCAAAATGGTCGACCAGCAAAGAGCTATTCAATGAAGAATTAGGAGAGACGAGGGGTAGCTAAGTCCCCACCTCACCGCAGAAGACATGCCATGTACACATCTATCTTAGAGTACACCCAAAATCACCCAAATGTGTCCAATACAATGGACAACCTAAATAAAATTATGGCCAAACCCCAGTGAAAGAAGTCCCAATGAAAAAAAAATAAATAAATAAATCACACATATACCGAAATAAATGACCCTTAAATGATCTATGACAAAATCTTAACTCGTTGTGTGGACATTGTCTGAATCAACCTGTTAACAGGCTTGATAAGTCTACCCAGTCTTGTCCGTATCCCTTCCCCTTGAACAACCGAAGGAATCCCTGAAGGTACAACTGTAACGACTGAGTCACATCTAGACACTTGTGAGCCACTAATGGCCTTGGCTAAACCTATAGTGTCACTTGGGTGTAAGCCCATGCTTACAGAGTCTACCAGCCGGTCACTACTGTTATCCTCACCGTGTGAGCTCTCCGACCCATGATCCACCCCGCTCCTCTGGTCCCCACAGACAGACAGGGTCCCTCCACCTTGAACACTACCACCATCCCCTCCAATCACTTCAGATTCACTAGCTACTGTCGCTCCACCTGTAGTCATCACCACACTAGACTCAGGAAGGGAGGAAACCCAGTGAGCCGTTCGAGCATCACTGTCCTGCTCACCTGGAACCACATCATCCGACAACCCGCCTTCTGAAACTGTGTTTGAAAAGGAAGCCTGAGACACAGAGTCATCCCATGATGGCAATGGCAAAAAGTTTACAGGCATGATCAGATTCCTATGAACTGTCCTAACTCGTCCCGTAACAGGATGGCGGATGACATAGGTGTTCAGTTCACTGTTCTTATGGACCACAATGTAAACTGTATCCTTCCAACGATCAGCCAATTTTCTTTTCCCTCGTTCCCCTTTGTTAGCCATCAAAACTCTGTCCCCCTTCTCCAAAGAATGTCCTTTAATCTTTCGGTTATACACCTCAGCTTGTCTCGATTGCTGCTTCTCAGCATGCCGCTGAGCCAAGATCATTGCTTTCCTGAGGTCCGTGCCCAATGACTGAACATATTTGTCCATGTCGGCAGTCTCTCCATCTAAGAGAACACTTCCAAACATCACATCAACGGGTAACCTAGGAGTTCGCCCGAACATTAAAAAGAACGGCGGAAAACCTGTTGTTTCGTGTACCGTGCAATTATAGGCAAAAGTCAGTATGTTCAGCATCTGAGGCCATTTGTCCTTTGCCCGAGGAGGCAAAGCACGGATCATGCTACCCAAAGTCCGGTTTAGACGTTCAGCCTGGCCATTTCCCGCAGGATGATACGGGGTTGTACGGCTCTTACGAACACCAGCCATCTGGAGTAGCTCGGCAATGAGGGAACTCTCGAAATTAGCCCCTCTGTCAGAGTGAATACAAGCTGGAAACCCGTATATGGAAAAGAAATTATTCCATAACACGCGAGCCACTGACTTGGCAGACTGATTTGGACATGGGTAAGCACATGCGAGCTTGGTAAAATGGTCTGTCACCACTAGAACGTCGACGGACTTGTTATTGACATCCTCTGCTGACCAGAAGTCAATACAAACCAATTCTAGTGGTGCTGATGTGACAACAGAAACAAGTGGAGCCCTGGCCTCAGGTTCGGGTGCTTTGCTCAAAACACATCTCTTGCAATGACTCACATATTCCTTGACATCGTGTTCCATCGAATCCCAGTAAAAACGTTGTCTGGCCAGCCAGAGTGTACGCTGCTGACCTTGATGGCCTGCATCATCATGCACCCCTTTCAACACCTGACCTCTCAACGCAACTGGTACCAGATATTGGAACACTTTCTTCTTGCTCACCACATGTTTAGAAATGCGGTACAACACACCCAGCCGGGTCGTGAGTTTACCCCACTGTCGCAATGTACGATTTGTCTCCCGTGATTCATGAACACGCTCACGGCGGGATGGTCGACGTCCCCTGTTTACATAAAAAGAAACCCGGCTGACCACAGGATCCTGACACTGCTTATCATACAACTCCTCATGAGTGAGGACAGGCAGTGGGCTCTGCCCCACTGGCAACAGTTCCTCCAACTGTTGGGTGTAGCAGGTTGCCCTCATTTTTGCACCTTCACTCCAACAACGGTGAGACTTGAATAAGGCTGACACCTCATCATGAGAAACTCTCCCACCGTTGTCCTCAAGGTCCAAACTGCCTGTGGCAGAGTCCTGAGTCAAAGGAGAGAGTTTCTGCTTCTCATCCACAGACTCTTCCCGAGAAAGGCGAAACATGTTCTGAACATCTTCCACCAGCAAACCTCTGGCCTCCCCTAACAAAGTGTCATATGGAGTCCTTGTCAACCGGTGCATCATCTTTTGCTGAGCAAATGGTTCCCTGCTCAATGCGTCTGCCACAACATTTCGCGGACCTGGAATGTATTGAATGTCAAAATCAAAGGGGGCCAGTTTGGCCACCCATCTCTGTTCGCAAGCGTCCAGCCTTGGCTTGGTAAGAATGTACTTCAGAGGATTGTTGTCAGTCCAAACAGTAAACTTATGTCCACGCAGCCAATGACTAAACTTATCATGGATAGCCCATTTCATGGCGAGGAACTCGAGCCTATGAGCCGGGTATTTGGACTGCGCATGATTCAAAGACTTACTTGCAAATGCAATGGGCCTGGCAATGGTTTGGCCACCTTGAACCTGTGACAACACAGCTCCTAATCCAGAAGATGACGCATCAACAGAGAGCAGGAAAGGCTTTGTAAAATCGGGGTGGGCAAGAAGAACCTGCTCGGTCAAAGCAGCTTTCAAAGTCTTAAATGCTTCGCTGCATTCCGGGGTCCAGTCAGCCGCGACAAGCTTACGCGATGAAGCTTGCTTCTTTCGGCCCTTTCCCCTCCGTGGCTTGGAAGCCCCAGTAGTCAGTTGGAATAATGGCTTGGCAATCACAGAGCAGTTCTCAATGTAATGCTGATAATACACCACCATTCCAAGAAAAGAACGAATTTTCCTAGAAGAAGGCGTGGTGCCATCAGGTTCCATAAGATCCGCTTCTGACACACCTACGATTGCCTGCACTTTATCTGGATCTGTTGCAATTCCGTCTCTTGTAACAATGTGACCCAAGAACTTGACTGACTTTCTCAAAAACTGACACTTGGATGGAGACAGCTTCAGGTTATGTTCTCTTAACCGCCGAAACACCATCTCCAGTCTCTGCAGGCTTTCCTCCTCAGTCTTGCCAAAAACCAGCAGATCGTCCAAGTAACAAAGAAGGCTTAAAAAGTTCTGGTCACCAAAAATCGTGAGCATCATTCGCATGAAAGTAGCAGGGCTGTTACACAGACCCTGTGGCATGCGGTTATACTCATGCAGTCCGAGAGGAGAGGAGAAAGCAGTGTATTTCTTATCATCCTCATGAAGAGGGACATTGTAATATCCCGAAGTCAAGTCCATTGAGCTAAAGAATGCGTTACCTCCTAACGCTGCAAGGATGTCAGCTTGATGCGGTAAAGGGTGTGCATCCTTGACTGTACGGGCGTTCAACCATCTGAAGTCCGTACACAGCCTCAAGTCACCATTTTTCTTCCAGCAAAGAACGAGCGGAGAAGCATACTCACTACTCGACTTCCTGATAATTTCACGCTCTTCCATGTCATCTAAAGTCTCTCTCAACTTTTGGTAGTGAGCAGGAGAAAGCCTACGATAAGGCAGACGAAAAGGGCGTTCATCGGTAAGTCTGATGCGATGGCAGAATTCAGCAGCCTTGCCGCAGTCCAAGTGATGTCTCGAAAACACATCTTCATACTGTACGACTAAATCAGTCAGCTTCTCTCTCC